TGAGACGGCTCTGGGGCTGGCAGCAAGTACAGACATCAGGAGGGGCGAAACCATTGAGGAATGAGAAAACAAGGATGAGAATTTTAAATCAAGGCATTGCTTAACTGGGAGCTAACGTATTGTTAGTGAATCCACAGCTGATGGGTGAAGAGAATTAGTATGAATTAATGTTCAAAAAGCAGAGGCTTTGATTATGTCATATTTACAAAGTGTAGAATGCGGAGGTCTGCCAGTACTGTCTTAAATCTCAAGGTAATAAAGGTATAAGTGAAGGTTTCAGTATCAGAGGATCTGAGGCAGGCAGAGTTGAGCAATGTTGTAGGCTGAAGTGGTTAATCTTTGCGTTGGTGCGGATTGTGGTCAGAAGCTCATCTTGGAATCAAATATGATGCCAAGGTTATAGTCAGATTCATCCATAGACAATTGTCAGGGTGAGGAATGCAGTTGAACATGAGGGAATGGAGTTTGTGATGGTGACTGACGACAATTTCTGTTGTTTATCTAATATTTAATTGGAGCAAATTTCTGCTAATCCAACATTGGATATCAGCAAGGCTGTTGTAATATTGTCATTGTGAGATGTGCAACACTTATTTGATAGCACTAGTGAAATCAAACCAAATAAATGTATATGCTAGTTAGCTAGCCTGACAATGATCAGGTAAAGCTGGGTCTAGCCTGAATACATGTGAAAACTGAAGCTGCTTTTGTGAATAATGTCACCTGTACATAAATGAGAAAAATAAGGCCAAGAATAAATTATAAAATCCCTGCAGTGCAGATAGAGGCCATTTGGCCCATTGAGTGTGCTCCGACCCTCCAAAGAGCATTCTGCCCAGACCCACATCCCCTACCCTATCCCCGTAACGCCACGTTTATCGTGGCCTATCCATCTACCCTGCCATTTCCTGGACACTATGGACAATTTAGCATGGTCAGTCCACCTAAACTGCGCATGTTTGAACTTTGGGAGGAAACTGGAGCACCCAGAGGAAATGCTGATACGTGGAGAACGTGCAAACTCCACACAGACGGTTGCCTGAAGGTGGAATTGAACCTGCGTCCCTGGTGCTGTGAGGTAGCATTGCTAAAAACTGTGCTACCGTGCCACCAAATCCTTGGGGGTCCTCTGGGGTAGTGGTGGAGGGTGTTTGTAATGGCGGTGAGAGGAGTCTCAGCCAGCTAGACAGCAAGTCAAGAGGCATTGGTGAAGGATGGTCAAAGGTCATTGTGAACAGTGAAGAGAGAGACTTCACCTTTGTCTGAATCCCATTGAGAGTGTCATCAGAGCTGTGACAGGATGAAAACCTGACTCAAATGAAATCTAGGAAAGATTGCAAAGGACTTGCGAAGCTACAGCATGTATATAGAGGCCATTTGGCCCATTGAGTCTGCACCGACCCTCCAAAGAGCATCCCATGCAGACCCACATCCCCCACTCTGTCCCCATAACCCCACATTTATCATGGACTTTGGAGAGGAAGGGGAGGCTGGAATAGGGCAGTAATGTGCAAAGATGAAGGAGCCGAGGGTTTGCCTTTTTTGAAGAACGGACAGCTGATTGAAAATTTAAAGGAGATGACTATAGCACCTGAAGGGAGAGAATCGTTAAAGTGTCAGCTAACACTGGTAACAACAAAGCTATGTGGCCAGCAGTTTAGTGGGAAAATGGTTGAGGAAGCACAGTCTCATGGAAAAGATGAACTTGATGAAAGACTGGAATGTGGTGTGGGTGTGAATTCAGGGCTATGACATTGGGCTGTCTTGGAGGAAGTTTAACCAGTGGTAGTGAAATACTGAAAAAAATGTTCTCCTTTGCACTGTTCTATTTTTGGCAGGGATGTTTTTAAAACATGAAATATATTAATAATGTTGATGACAGTCATTTTTTTCAATAGTCTGGTGTGGCATATTTCACTCGTACCTTTGTTATTTGTAGTTTTTACACTCATGATAGTCACATGTATCAAATGATTTCACATGACCTGGAACTTTGTTTTGAAGTGCTTGATTAACAGAGTCATGGGGAAAGGTTAAAGTCTGCAAGTTGATATTTATAGTGGGTGTGTGAGCTGCAGCTTGTGCAGTAAACATTTCAGAACTGATCATTGTACCTTTAATAGAGTTAAAATTTAACAGGTTTATGTCAGTCAATCAGGATTTTAATATCGCTACTTTGATTCTCCAGCTGGTCACTTTGCTTCAAATGTGAAGTTGATGCAAGAAGAACAGAAACAATAACTTCTACTTGTATAGCACCTTAATGTAGTAAAATGTCCCCAGGTACTTCTCGGGAGCATTATAAAATAAAATTAGACATTATTCTACAGAGGTGCAGTTGGCCTAAAGCTTGGTCAAAGAATTAGGTTTGAAGGAGCATCTTAAATAAGGAAAGAGAGATGGTGAAGATTGCTGAGCATAGATCCTTGGCAGCTGAAGACAAGCCACTAATAGTCTGATTTAAAATCAGGATGTCCAAGAGGCCAGAAACAGAAGGGCAGTGATCTTGGAGGGTTTGGCCTGGAGGCGATTATAGCATTTTCAGCCCTTGATAGCTGAAGACAGCCACCAATGATGGAATGATGAAAATCGGTAACATTTAAGAAACCAGAATTCTAGAAATACCTTGGTGAGTTGTGGAGCTGACGGACACTCCAGAAATAGGGAGTGGCAAAACCACGCAAGGAATTGTAAGTGAATTTGTGATTTAAAAATTGAGATGTTGCAGAACCAGGAGCCAGTGTAGGTCAGCGAGCTTAGGGGTTATGGGTGAAAAATCCTTCAGAGTGCAGACCGCAGCATTTTGGATGACCTTGTTTAGATCTTTGGAAAGCCAGCCCAGGAGTGCCTTCATGGAAGTTTCTGTTCATCCAGTACTGGATGTTGGACAATCAGCCTGACTGTTCAAAGACAGTCAAGAGAGGTGGATTTAAGGTAAAACAGGTGTTGTCAGGGGTCATGTAGAAACTGATGCTATGTTTTAGAATGATATTACTGAGGGACATCATGTAGATCAAAAATAGGAAGTTTCCAAAGACAGATCCTTGGGGTTTCCAGAGGTGATAGTGCAGGTGTAGGAAGAGAAGCCATTACAGCCAGTTCCCTGTTACTAGATAGATAAGAATGCAATAGGGGTGAGTGCTGTTCACATAGCTGGAAGTTTGTGGACAGGCATTTGGAATTGAATGGAGTGGTCAGCGCTATTAAAAGCTGCAGACAGGCCAGGAAGGTTGAGGAGGGTACCTTCTTACACAGAAGTATGTGAATTTGCTCAGAACAGTTTGTGCTGTGATGGGCAAAAGCCTAACTGAAGGATTCAGACATGAAGTTCCAAGAAAGATGGGACATGATTTGGAAGACAACGGAATTGCTTTGACCAGCAACTACTGGCATCTGACTGTAGTGTTCCTGGAGAGGTCACCATATACAATGGGTGCTGTGTTGTTCAGTAATTTACCAAATGCATTCAATTTTTTTTTAAGCATCATATATTCTCTGGAAATTTAAATTTATTCTTTTTAAATGTACTTTCTCACATTTTAATGTGCAATTTTCTTTTGATGACAGGAATTTCTTTCTGGAAAGTACAGGTTTCACACAACAACTTGTTGTGCAAGGAGCTTGAATTTTGAAAAATCTACTTGTACTAAATGTTTCCAAGTCATTATCAAAATGAAAAGTATTAATATAATTATTTTATCATGGCCGGAATTTGTCCTCTAGTTCAAAAGACAAATGTGCAACCCAGAATGAAGGTCTCTTTTCGTGCCCCCACCTCTGGGTAATAAGTTCTAGGTTCAAGTCCTACCTGCCCCAGACATGTCTGGACAGGTTGGTGAAAAATATATGCAACCTAGAATGGTATTCATTGAAGCTGGGAAGCTTCCAGGATGGTTTCCTGATTAGTCCTAGAGTAAAAGGTAAAATGGTCACACTTTGGTTCAAAAAAAAAGTGTGGTTGGAGTGAGGATCAGAAAGGCAAGTGAGAAATGAGGCTAGTTTCCGGAGTGTGATGACCATACCAAAAAGTGTAAAGGCCTTAAAATTTTCTTGCCTTTGATGTCAAGTGTCAGCGTGAAGAACAACGTGGGAGGAGATACTAGAGGATGATTAGTACTCAACGTAACAGAGAGGAGGAGGGAGGGGGGGAGAAAGAGAATCGATGCAAAGTGCATCTAAAACATATTTTTGTTAAGAAAACATCACTGATGTATTGGGACTTGGAAAGGTTACAAGCTTAAAAATTACTGCAGTGTATTTTGTGTTCTTAACCTACCAACCAATCCAAAAGTGATAAATTGCAGCTAGTGATTTTCATTTGCTTATGTCAGGTTTATCTTCAAAGTAATTGTTTTCTTTTTGTACATTTTAAGATATTCCCAAAGCTTTTACATGTCCTATGAGTTTTTCATTCTGGTTTCCAGTAATCTGTTGATGAAATATAAGCTGTTGACAGCTGCTATTTTAACTGAGGACATGATGCTACTGCTTATCTTTATCGACCAAAGAAAACATGTTATTTCATGTGCTGTAGAAGTTTTATTTAAGCAGAGCTGAAATCAGCTGCTTGAGCATTGCTTGGAATAGAATGTGCTATCCAATGTGCAACATTTAGGGTTTTGTTCAAACAAAATATTGTATAAAAATAAAATTAACTAATCAGTATTTGAATTTCAGAGGTTAAATTCATCCATTTACAGGGATTGAGATATAATCTGACCCAAACCAAAGTGAAGATTTTGAGCTGGAAATGTCATTTGTGGAAATGCATTTTAAGAATTCACTGCTCCCAAAATATGATGTTTGGGAGATCAAGCAAAGTGAATGAAGCTTTCCTTTTTTAAAAAAAAATGCAGTTGAGCAATTTCATGCAGCCCCCTATTTTGCCACGTGAAATTGTCATTTTTAAGTTTTTGAACTCATCAAATGATGCTAAATACTTAAGGGCTGGCTTCAGACCAAGAGTAAAATGCTAATTTTCTCTTGTTTTTGATTTCTAGCTGATGATGCTCAATTTGAAATGGATATTTAAGCTGTCTCCTGGAAGAAGAGGATTGTTCTCTTGACAGAAGCAGTTTTTGTTTATTGAGGAGCAATTATTCTGAAAATTTGTGAAGCTGAGGTCTTCAGCAATGGAAGTATAATACTTCATACATTCACTGATTTTACAGTTGGGGAAGGGTGACTAAATTGGTGCTTGTTATTACATGCTGCTTTTCTGCAGGACATATTGTAAATTTGTCTTTTGTTAGAAGTTTGGATTAATGGCTTTCAGATAGAGTGGTTCACTTGGTCTTTAATTTCTTCTTACTGGCTTTACAAGTTTTAACTGACTGACTGTAAAGGATCCAGTAGCCCATATCATCTTGCAGCAATAAGATTGGTGACCTGCTGTATCTGGTGTGCTGATTTAATCATTCAAAAACCACCCTACATTCTCTAGCAGTTCTAATGTGAATATGCTGTGGTGGGCATAGCTGTGAATTAGTAACGGCATGGGAAATGGGTGGCATATTGATCCTGCTGTTAATGGTGCAGGTTTTGTTATGGTTGTAATTGGAGTGCTGACCTCAATAAGGATGCTGCAATATTATCTCCTTGTAACTGAGATTCTTATGTAAACTACATTTATGCACATAAAACTGTAAATAAAGAAAGAACATACTTACATTTACTTAGCATCTTTCATAACTTCAAAATATCCTATTGTGCTTGACACCCAATAAAGTACTTTTCGAAACATGTCACTATTGTTTCCAAGGCAACTTGTTTATGATAAACTCACTGCTGTCTCATTGGATGCTATCGAGTTTGTGGCCTGGGGAATGGATTCTTAACCGTTGATAGTTCAGTTGCCAGTTCCTTCTCATTTATGGGTTCCTTGATCAAACACTCAGATGTGTCTGATGCCATCTCATAGAATTCAGATTTTATTCCTGTTTTCTGAAACCTGTTAAATTGGATTGGTAAAGGTTTTTATTTAAATACCATCTGCCTGAACTAATGCCAGTCAAAGAATTAATCAAAGTTGAATCCTGGTATTAAATAGCATTTTCTTCATCTTGTAAAACTGTTGATATTGTTTGAAAGCAAAAGAAAAACTTGCATTTTCCTTTTATAACCACAGTGCTTTACAGACACTGAAGAGGTTTTGAAGCAGAGTTGTTGTAGTATTACAGGGAACATGGCAGCAATTGGCATAATGTGATACTGTTAACCAAATACTATTTTTTGTGATACAAACAGAAAATGCTAGAGATCAGGTTTCACAGCATCTGTGGAGATAGAAAGAGTTAACATTTCGAGTCAAAAAGACTGTCTATAGGCTTAATTTTACTTCACCTCCCAGTCTGAAGAATATACTAGTTTCTTCCTCGACACTTCGTAAACGTGAGCTTAAACGTTCTCAGCTTCAGGGCTTTACCCAAACACATCTGGTCTGGAACTATTACTAAACTTCTTATTCTGAGATAATCTCTCTTTTTTTTAAAATCTAAACTACCTTCTGCTTTTTTCAAGGAAATGCTTCACGCATCCATCTTCAACTATGAGGCCTGTAGAATTGACACATACTGAAACTGAAAGTGAAAGACTTCTCCGAGCTAAGAGTGTTTTCCCCTAAGATTTAAAAAATAGTCCAGATTCTTCCATGAGAAAATCTACACTGTAGAATCAGAGATTTGGAGCATGGAAAGGGACCCTTTTGGCTTATTGTATCTGCCGGTCAGTAAGCACCCATCTATCTTTGCCCATTTTCCTGTGTTTGGCCTGTAGCCTCGTATGTTATGGAGCTTTAAGTGAAAACGAAATACTAAAATGTTACGATGGTTTCCACCTCTACCATCCTATTAGGCAGAGAGTTCTGGGCACCCACCGCCTTCTAGGTGAAAAAGGTCTTCCCTATGTCTCCTCTAAATTCTTGTCCTTCACCTTAAATCTATACTTCCTGGTTATTGATTCCTCTACTAAGGGAAAAAAGATTTTTTATATTTACCCTATCCATGCCCCAAATACTTTTGCTCACCTCAATCGTGTGTCTTCCCACCCTGCTGACTGCTCTAAGGAAAATAATCCCAGCCTATCTAGTCTCTCTTGTTAGCTGAAACCCAGCAGCCCAGGCAACATCCTATGAATCTCTTTCGCACCCTCTCTTTTGCAATCGCATCCTTCCTATGGCAATCAGAATTGTATCCAATATTCCAGCAGTGGCCTGACATCTTAGAGAGCTCCATCATAACCTCCTTGTTCTTGGACTCAGTGCTACAACTAAGAAAAGCAAGTTACCTATATACTGCCTTAACCACCCTATCCACCCTTTCCTTTTGCCTTCAAAGATTTATGGACCTGCATACCAAGGTCCCTCTGATCCTTTGTATATCACAGGGTCCTACAGTACAGTGTGTTCTGCCTTACCTTGTTATTCCCCACCACTAAATGCGTCACACCACACTTTTCAGGACTAAATTCCATTTGCCCATTATTCTGCCTATTTGATCAGCCCATCTGTATCACCCTGTAGTCTGTATTTCTCCTGGCTGTTTACATAATACCAATTTTTATATCTTACTGATTAAACCTCCTAGATTCATGTACTTTGATCACTTATCAACTCTCCCAATGTAAACAAAAACCCATTAATTTTTGGCGGCTATCCCTTTTGAACTGTTTTAAAGGTTATTAGATGTTATATCAAATGGTATTATTAAATGTTATATCAGTGCACTGATCGTTAAGCCCCACTACCCTTGGTCACCGGAAAAAAATTGATGATTTAAATCAAAGTACACAATGTCCCCAATTTACCCCTCTGATGGAACCAAGTTAACAGAAAATGCTCGTTACATTCTCTCCTCAACAAGGATTACTATTTATTACAATTCTAATCACAAATAAACCTCTATGAACTAGGTGAAAGTAAAGTCACCATAGTCCTACTGTGTCAATAGAAATAGAAAAGTGGCAGAGGGTTGATCTGAGGGTCACCACACCTCCGGCAAGGGGGCGAGGTCGAGGAAAGTAGGACTTTCATGGTGACCTCAGCTAGTACAGGAATTGAACCTGTCCTGTTGTTGTATCTCTGCATTGCAAGCCAGCTGTCCCAGCCAACGTAGCTAAAAAAGCTTTAGATTTTTAAGGAAGGCAGATCTTAGGCTGCATAGGGTCTGTAAGTATATTCAGTAACTGGTCAGCAATAATAAAATCCAAGCAACAAATGCATTTAGCACATCATTTGTGAGCAAGCAATAAATGCCAGGCCATGAGCGTCATTACTTTTCAGTCTGTGTGGGAGCAGAGTATGCAGGAGAATTGCAGTCATCATTGATTTAATGGGGGCAAGGTTAATTACAATCCAACTGTTTTTAGCGAGGACACCCTAAGTCCCAGAAAACTTTACGGCAGCGTAATAAATTATGTAAGCCCCTTACTCCATAATTCGGTTTGTTTTGTGATGCTGTAGTGTCCCTACATTGGTGTAAGTGCCATGCCAATACAATCAGTGAGCAACATTGCCCAGTTATTGGGTCAAGGTCAATGCTGGTAGTAGCTAATTAGGTGAGGAAACATTTATGTACCTGTTCAATAAACCTGTTTTTAAAAAAACACACTCGATTCTATTTATCTCTCATTTAAATCAACGTAATCTTCAAATTGTGACTTGTGTGTGGCCCAGACAGAATGTGAAAATTGAGGCGTTTTGAGTTGTTTTCCCCACATAATACTTTTGAGCTCAGTGAATGCCAGAGCATGGCATTCTGTCTATTTTAGATTTGCCTGAAGAAGATTTTCAGCTTACTCCATAGCATGTTTCGGGTATGGGTTATAATGCACTGCCTAAGAAGCTAGGCATGTCTTAGCTTGAATGTTCAGCTGTTTCCAAAAAAAAAAACTTGTGTAACAGTTGCTGATATTTCTGGGAGGTACTGTAAACCATTGGATTACAGTGTATATCAAACAAGATCCTCCCTATTGTCAATTGAATTTTATTTCATTCAGTGTAAGGTTTTAAAATCCATCTGTCATGGCAGCGAAGAGTTAACTGCAGAAAGGATAGAATTGACTGGTGCACTTGCGTTTAATTTGAGGATATGGAATGGCATATTTATTTATTGACACTTGGACGTTTATTTAAGCATATTATTTGTTCACTCACATATGTTTTCAATTTGTGTTCCTATGTTAGACTAAATAATTTGCTTTCTATTTGACTATATGAAAATGGCAGGTTATTCTGAGATATTTGGAGTAACCTTCCTTATTTGGTATTGCTGCTTTGGGTGCTTTTCCACAATTTGTTTACTCACCTTACAGTTTCAGTCTGAGCTACATGCAGGTTATAAAAGTGCTGTTTTTATCTGGGCACTTCAATACTTGAAGCTTTCAGTCTTTACAAGCTCTGGTCTGTCGAACTGCATGTGTTTTTACAATGTGCTCCAGGAAAGAAGCATTTAAGTTCAGGTGAAGGAACATTTTGACATTTTGAATCCATGCCTTTGATTTTCAAACTCACCTGGACTCAAGTGGAGACAGCGGCCGTGAAAGCTGATGAACCCCAAAATCAAGTCCGGGGATTGCAATGTGTAATGGACAGGAGCAAGTTCTCTCTGATGCAGGAAACAGGTAAACTTTGTTCTGGCTGCTATGGAATAGATTGCAGCGTGCAGCTGATGCCAACCACAGTATTGACTGGCTGTTTGCCCGAGCAGCAATGTAAAATTCGGAGAGGCTGACATAAGTTCAAACGATCCTGCGCCTGTAAAGGAAGGTGCATTTTGATTGGAACAAGTGCTTGAATTGTTGTAACAGTGAGTTTGATGTGGGAAAGACCCAAGAATGGGACAACTTTACAGAGAGCAGGGTTGAAGGTTTTCCAATGCTGTCCAGTGCTGAAGGTGGAGAGGAAGGGAGATCTATCAATAGGTCACCCAGCTGACAAGCATATGATGGCAGCAGGATCACATGGCTCTGGCAGTCCTAGGAGACTAGCCCAAGGCCATGATGTATTGCCACGAGGTTTAATGGTGCCACGTCGGTGGTCAAGGTTAATGTATGTACAATTGCTTTATCCCACCGACTGAACAAAATCCTCATCAAATCACCAGAACTACTGTTCAGATCACCGCAGTCCCTGTTTGAATCTCCACTGGTCCCTGTTAGAACCACCACAGCCTTATCACTAAATTGCAATCCCTAGCAATCATGAAATGTGTCAAATATTCATGTTTTCACCTCACCCTTATAGAGTTATCAGTGCTGAAGCTTCATGCCCACTTCTCTCATCTTATCAGTAACAACAATTCAACCACAACCACTTCACTCACCTCCCTCCCTCCCAAGATGTTGCAGAACTGAAGGCAGTGGCACTAATCTGGCTGCATGCCTTCCCTCCCGTAGAGTATTTTGTTCTTCACATCAGTAGAGCAGGCCTGATTGGGACTGTGGACAGTGATAGGGTTGAAACTATTGAAGGTGACAGTTTGTTTATATTAAACTTTCCTCCTCACAACTCGCATCCCTCTTGCACCACAGTTTTGATTTACCAGTTACAGACAATATAAACATGCACCTCTTACTCACTCCTCACACACACACACACACACACCACACACACCACACACACACACACACACACACAC